GATCTAGGCCCGAAACGTCAGCCTTCCTGCTCCTATGATGCTGCTAGGCCTGCTGTGTTCATCCAGCTCTACACCTTGTTATCTCAGATTCTCCAGCATCTGCAGTTCCTACTATCTCTGATAAAATACCGGAGTCTGGTCCACCATACAATCGTGGCTGATATGTTTCTCAACCCCATTTTCCTGCCTTCTCCCCGTAATCCTTGATCTTCTTATTAATCAAGAATCTCTCTCTCTTTCTCTTTAAAAATAGACAATAATTTGGCCTCCACGGTCTTCTGTGGCAATGTGTTCCACAGATTCACAACACTCTGGCTGAAGAAAACACAAATATAGTTTTATTTTGATTTTTCACGCAAACACTAAAAAGGCAACTCAACATCTTACTATTTTGATGCCTGTGTCAGATAGTTCAGAATACTCCAGAGCACAATTGATGGTTAACCTGTCAGTTTTTGTTGTTGATAGGATCTGAGGCTCAGCTTTTGAAGCTCAAATTCTTCCAAGTAGCTTCTGATAACACTGAAGCCAATGTCATATCAGGCATGGCAACTAACTTGATCTTGCCTCCAGGAAGTTATTTTATCTGGTGCAGTAATGCTCATGTTATCTCCTACAACATAAGAAACATAAGACACTGAAGAATCCAACAGCAGCTTGCTACAGCTAACCATTACATACACACATTATATTTCTCAGGCACATACATGAACTGACTAACATTAAGTGATTAGTTGCTACAAAAATCATGCCTCTAGTGACGTACAATGCTTCAAGTGATCCCGGGGTTGAACGGAGATTAAGATCTATAAACGCCTCAGGTCACGTGCTATGATTTGGTACATTAGCTTGTCTCTTAATGGTATATTGACTGTAAGATATAACACAATACCAGTTCTGGGCAAGGAACAGTGGAATGGTTACTAGTGCTTTGCTAAAATGCTGTCTATTTTAGAAGCATCCTAATGCAAGTGGACAATGTGTGAACCGATGCTCTTGTCAATCGATATTTCGTTCTTCCAGTCTTAGATAATGAAATCTTGCCCCTATTGACCAAACATTAACTCTGTATCAAGTAAAAAATGAAACCTGATTACACGAACTTCTCAGCACTTTGTTCTTAAAATTTAAACATGGTGATGATTTGTATCCATATTAGCCAACTAATGAAAGAAAATTCTGACTAAAATACAGATCAACTTATACTCTTCTTTCCCATCTTGCCTGGCAGATCTAGGACAAATGGGGCTAGAAATGAGCTGGGAAACATCTCAGAAGGGTAGGTGTAGTAGTATAGCATGTAGTATTACAGGTTAACAGATACAAAGTAAATTCAGAAAAGCATGATCTCCACTATGTTTCCCAAGAGAAGCTCTGCTTTAAGATGTCTGCACTAGCTATGACAGCCCTGATACGTTGGGAAAGAAGGTTGTAGGGAATTCTGGCTACACATAACCTTGGCATGATAGAGCAGCATCCATCACCTCTGTAGACTGATTCAATTCCCCAGCACAAGCCCAGGGAGCCCATTGTCAGTATGTGCAAAACCTCGGGATTGAAAAGCTAGTGGAAGCCAGTGGGATCCTTTGTGAGATGAACTTCCTGCCACGTCAATGATATCCTGAAAATGTGGGTTTGAGCCTAGATCAGAAATTCTTTTGTAATTTTAACAAGCAGATTACATGCAAAGAAAAAGACTTCTTTGTAAAATGTTATGCCAATTACACAATAGAAAGTTCGATATATAATGACAGTATATCTACACAGAGAACAAAATAAACAAGCTTCCAGATTTATGCTGGTATAGAAATGTCATAATAATCTTCAAAGAATCAAATTTTCTTCATAAGCGAGGCAACAATGTTAAGACTACTGTTCTCTGATGTACTGCCAAGACAAATTATCCTTTGAAGTTCTTACTGGACTTGGTATAGACTTTTTATATACTAGTTAGCAAAGGTAAACTACAATGTCCAATTAAATGGTAATGCCATTTCCCACAGAATAGTACCAAATAGTTATCTTTACATTATAAAAGCAGTCTGTAAATGTTCAGAGCATCTTTACAAGTGCAGTTACCATGATCACTACATCAAAATATCCAGACGGACTGGTTGGTGTCCTTTCCCACAATCTGAGCGTCGATTCAAATTCAGACATTGTTTCTAGGATAAATGTTCCCGAACTGCATTAGTTTTGTGCGAATGTGTTTGACAGTTTCAAAAAAAGTAAACAGCACAAAACTGTCTATTGTGATAATATGTTAGCATCCTCACATTAGGAGCTATAATGGTGTAGTTATAGAGTCATACAGCACAGAATCAGACCCTTCGGTCCAACAGGTCCATGCCAAACATAATCCCAAACTAAACTAGTCCCACCTGCCTGCTCCTGGCCCATATCCCTATTCATTTTGTTTGTTTTTGTATGTTAATAAAACAAAATGGAAAAAAATCTTATATTAGTAAACTATAATGACTATAATAACTGTAAAACTGTAAAAAAAACTATAATAAATCTTTAACTAAACTTGCAATCCCAGGAGCAGCATGAAGCTTAAGAATATGGGGATCCTGTTAAGCTCTCTTAAGGGGTGAATCATAACTCAAACAAATACATATAAAAACCTTCAATTATTTCATTGTTACAAGCTTGTACTACTGAATAATTTGGCATACTGGTGATAGCAACAATGCTGTACTTTAAGAGCTCATTAGCATAATCGTGGCAGCATTTAATTTAGTGCCAAAGCAAAACAATATACTTATAATTCTATTTAGCATGGGAATGCTTAAATTTCACTTCCAAATTCCAGCTGGGTCAGAAAGGACCCAATGGAATGAATTTCCATACAAAAGAATCAATTTTAAAGATGCAAAGGAGCGCTTTATTGAGGTTGTTGTGCTTTCTTAAACAATCTTTATATAAAAGCTTATTTATTTATTTCATTCAGCATAAATTCTTATGTAATAATGCCTACCAAAGTGACTAGCATAACACATTAAACTTAAAATGCAGATCACAACCTGATACAAAAATTGCAAAATCTCCTTATTTGCAGGAGTAGCCCATTCAGACCATTGAGCCTACCCCATCAATCTAAATCATCGCCTCAATAACACTTTTTCACACTATCTCCAAAAATCTATTATCGCGTTGAATGATTGAGCTTCCGCTGCCTCTGGAGTAAGGCATTCCAAAGATTGACCCCCTTTGGGTGAATAAATTCCTCCTCATCTGTCTTAAATGGCCTAGCATTTATCCTGAGATTATGGCTCTAGAGTTACTAATAAGGGGAAACATCCACCCCACAGGAATTTTGTATGTTTCAATTAGATCATCTCCTATTCTTTGGGACTTTAAAGAATAGAAACTATGTTTCTTCAAACTGTCCTCATAAAAATATCTCTTCATACCAGGGATTACTTTGGTGAACCATGATTGAACTCCTTCTAGGGCAAGTACATCCATAAGGACACCAAACTGCACATAATACTCCAGGTGAGGGCTGATAAATGCTCTACACAACTGGAACCAGACATCTTTATTCCTGTACTTAAATCTCCTCTAAATGAATGTCACAATCTTGTTTGTCCATTCTAATTGCTTGCTGTACCTGTATGCCAGCTTTTAGTAACTCACGGATAAGGACACCCAGATCTCTTTGGGCAACTGCACTTCCTGTCCTCTCACCACTTAAGAAATATTCTATCTTCCTGTTGTTTTTTTGCAGCAGTGAATAACTTTGCCCTTTTACGCGTAATGTTGCATCTGCTATCTTCCAGTCCATTCACTAAACCTCTCCAAGCCTCCTTGCACCCTCATCACAACTTACATTCCCACTCAGCTTGGTGTCATCAGCAAATTTGGAAATATTACAACTGCACCCCACATCCAAATCACTTCTATCAGTTGCAAACAGTTGTGAATCTAGTACTGACGCTTGTGGTACCCCAATAGTAACAGTCTGCCATCCTGAGAATGGTCAGTTTATTCTTACTATCTGCTTTCTGTCGATTAACCCATTCTCAATCCATACTAGGGTATTCCCTCCAATCCTATGAACGCTAATTTTATTTACTACCCTCTTGTTCCAAACATAAATTATTTAAGAGATAAAATGGAAGTCTTATTATCCTACAGTGAGGTTCTAGATTTGACTGCCCCCCACCCCCACAACCCCATGCTGTGGTAATTGGTCTTAGATGTGGTAATAATAAGAATAAACTACTCTCACTATTTCAGCGTGAGAGGGGGAGTTAAAAAAAATTTCCCCTGACTGCTAGGGAGCACATTCTGGTAGAATATTCAGAATTAATTCACCTATGATTGTATATTCTTCCCATTCACTGCTTGGAACAAACTTCCAACATTAAGTTACTAGATTCACCCCAAAAAAGGCATTCAGCGAAGGCTTAGTGTGCTCACAATATCGATGTTAATATACCCCCACACCAATGTTTGGATAGACAAAATATTTGAAACAGAAGGGACAGAAGATGCTTGAAAACAAAACTGGAAATGAGATATTCTTGGATTTGCTTTTCAACCATACATTTAACAAGTTCACTGAACATATTGCTTTGTTCAATAAAGGGCCTGCAGCTACTTCAGATGAATATCAACAGTGTTCATGTCACACCTCTATGTTGATGTGACTGTAATTCAACCATTTTTTGTATTTGCAATAGCATCACTTAAAAAAAATGTTCTGTTGGATGAATGTGTTATTATTGATTAGCCCATTTCTGCTGTATAGACTCTACGCGGTAGACTGTAGATCAAACTCATGATTGTTTACACTGCTCAAAGTGAAGACTTTGCTTCAAAGTCATCGTGATCCATCTAACATTTTGAAAATTAATTTTCCTTCCGTGAGTATTAAAACAAGCAGGAAGAGAATATTAATAATGCTTATGAGATCAATTCAACAGCCTTCTGTTACCCTCCAGATGTATGCACAACTGCTTTATATTGAGCACCTACTAACAGGGATCAAGAGAAAATGAAAGATTAAAAATGTTTATCTAGTGATAATAAAATTAATGTCAACTGGCCAAGGAGTCTTAAATGCAGTACATCTCTACTGAAATGATTTTCATGAACACACTAAAATGACTGATGAAAGATTTGATAACAGCATTAACTATTAGTGATAAATAATAACTCAACAAGAATCAAATAAAACAAAGGTATGGACTACCGTTTTTGCGATGGTTGCATCAACGCAGATACTTTATCATCATAGAATTTCTTCATTGCAAATCTGTCAAGAGCTTGATCAGCACTGTAGCAAAATATGCAGAAGAGTGAAAATTTAGTAATCATCAGCTGACAATGAAGAACAAACTGAATGCTTAAGTGACGTAAATGGTTTAAGTTAAAATGCCAAAAAAGATGGCTATTCCAACAGTTAGTAAAATTGGACAATTAAACCATTAGAAAAGTTCTGGTCATGAATTGCCATAGATGGACATAGATGGGAAGATGTCATTTGTTTGCCCTCCATGTCTTTTAGCAGTTGTCTGTTGTACAGAAAGGGTAGGGACTGGAGGGGTCAAATCTTTAACATGAGATTAAAAGACAATATGGCTCATGAGTTCCATAAGCAAATAAAAATCTATGCACTTACATTTCAAATCTTAACTGGTAAAGAAAGTGCGCCTTTGAAATTATAAAGACTGTACAAACTTGTGTAAATTAAGATCATAATTCAGTTTAGGTTTCTTACCTTGCAGAAATGTTGGTGAAATGCATGTATGATGAAATAACCACTCCTATCCTCCCTTTGCCTCCCTAGAGAAAATAAACAGCACAAGTAAGACAGTTTTTTTGAACCACTAAAAACCACGAAATAAGATGTGTTAGCTGTTTCCACCACTTTTTTGCTGTGATTCTAAGTGGACAATGGGGGAAAATAGTATCAGAGTATATATGCTAATATCAGGTTATTTGTGATAATATTTGGTTGCATGTATTTGTTACATGCAGAACAAAAATGTCCCAAAAACAGGCTGCCCAATTACTGATGAGTCTTGAAATTGCAAAACCATGTAATGGGGACAGGACTTCATAGAATCACAGAAGTGTTATGGTGCAGGAGGAGGGAATTTGGCCCATCATGCCTGCACCAGTTCTTCAAACATACGTCATTACCCAGTGCCAATCTCCTGCTTTTCCCATACATTTGCACACAGTTTCTATTCAAATAGAAATTTTGTTCCCTGGCATGCATGCTTGAATAAAAATCTTTGCTTACTTGAATCCTGCAGACATGACAGTGGTCTTTTCAATACAGTAGTGATGTTTATAACATTTAAGGAGTTGCACAAGATCAAGTTGGGAGATTTTGCTTATCAACATCCAATTGTGGTGGAAAGTTTCTCACAGGGCTATTGCAAATGGCACATTCAATGAATAAACAACAAGCCACAAGATTGCAATAATTATTATTGAGAGGGGGCTAAGTGAAACACTGAAAATGAATTTGCTGGCACATGAACAGACGATTTCCCAGGAAAGTTTGCTCTCTATTGAAAGAAACATTGCTAATTAGAGCTGACTTTATTATTTTACAGTTGCAATAATTTGGAGATTTTATGCCACATGTTACAGTTGGCTTGGAGACTCAATGAAAGGAATAACTAGGGATGAAACTATTCATTTAACTGAACAGTATTAAATGTTATCTGATACGGACAGGACTTAACATCTAAAGTTTTCAGTCAAAATAAAGAACTCCCACTTAAACTCAATTAGAATTGAGCCTTTCTGGGAAAATGCGCCCTATCCATTCTATCAGCTTATCAGTTGTTCATGAGATTTTGTTCCGTTAAACTCACACAGCTTCTGATATTTAATTCTGATTAGACTTTACATAGCTCTAAACTTTCCTCCTTTCCTAAGAACTAGACCAAAAGCCGGGAGATGTAGCTTTAGCTCCACTTTGCCTTCTCTAAACTCTTTATTGCTGTGATAAAGCATCAGGGGTGGTTGTAGCGAGCTGAAATGGCCACTCTTCATATGAAACCTACACAGCAGGTATCTTTATTGTGGATGCCAACACAGCTGAACCTGCATTCTTATTACTCAGATCTAACAGGGATCAAAACCAAAAAGTGGGATCAATGGTTGATTCCTAGCTTTCTCCTTCTTTAACTGAAACACTGTAGCAAGCTGAAATTAGTTAACAAAGTAGGGATACTGTAGACCTGTCTACTTGGCTAGCAAAGAACCCTTGTCTATTTTTTGGATGAAACAATATAAAATACACATCTATTTATACAATTCCCCCAGAGTTCCCATTTAAAACTTTCAACACAATATTCACTGCATAATTAACTGTTCAAAGATACCCCTGACAAAAGCAGCACCATTTGGAATTGTAATTAGTTTAAGTAAACTATTTGCTTCCACTAAGATATATAGTCTTATTTGAAATTGATTATCAATTTGTTTAAATGCCAAACTTAAAAAAAGGCATGCAATTTTAAGGAAACGGTAAATGGACTTCAGAGTGACCAGCACTTGAGCTATCTTTAACACTGGCATCTTGGCATGTTAACCAACCTCAGCGTTTCACTACTGCTCATTGTCAGCTTAACTAAGAGATTGCAGTTCAGATCTTCCTAGGAACAACATTCGTCAGACTGCTGCTCAATTCGATCTTTCCCCTGCCTTAACGTTGCTCCATGAAATAACTGCACAGAGGCTAGTACCCCATCTCCAAGTCACCCTTTGTTCACATGTGTACAGTACATGGGCTCTGACAAGCTACTTCACAGCCAGTCCCTACAATGAGGAGGTTCTCTGAGTCTCCTGTTTATATCTATCAGCCAGGGCTCCCTGATTGGCCCAGGTCAAAGAGATCCACCTGGCCCAAGTTCCAATCACTACACTCCGCATTTCTTACCAGGTCTTCCAACCCCGGTTTTACCAGAAATTTGGAGTGCAATATCCATTGTAGAGCCCCACTGAAGCACAGTTGAGTCAGGGGAAGACAGAATGCTGCTGCTTTTCAGGCACTAGTTGTTGTTTGCCAAGTTTTAAGGTCAAGTGTGAATGTTACTGAACAGGTAAGGATATGGGGTGGACAGTGAGAATAATTGGGGTCTCAGTTCTCAAATTACCCAGTTACTAGACTAGTGTTTTTTCTGTCTAAAATTTTCTAGGGAAATATCCACATAAGTACCTTGGAACTGCCTGAAGTATCCAACTCTAGCTTGGAGTAGAAGATTTTTATGGAGGGTTGCAGGATGCTGGTGATTTTCCCATTGGTAATTAAAGCTTCTCAGGTAATTCCCATGGAACTTCCATGGGGGCCCAGCATACATCTCTGGTTGTATGCCCAGTCACTGATGATCCAAAGCCCAGAAGATTTGGACCATTTCTTTCGGGAAGTCACAGTATGTCTGTTACTGTAACTGAGCCCCTGGAAGACAGGAAGGCAGCGCAGGACCTGACTGCATTAGGAGCTACCCTTCGAATGTTTAACTAAACAAGATTTTAAGGTTGTAATGACTTAACAATTTTGATAGCCTGACACATCCCAACAATACAAATAGCTTCCAACATCAGCTTAAACCCTCTATTATAAAAACAAAACACTTTCTATCAAATCAATGAAGACTTCTTTCCAGATTCAAATACATCACTTTTCTGGAACAGACGGAGCAGAGCTTCACAAGTATATTCTGTTGAATGGGCAAGAACAGGCAAATAAAAACCTCCCAACCTAAAAAGAAATCACCTTTTTTAAAAAAAACTACAGCATTTAGAGTAGGCAAGTTCTAACACTCAGTCTTAACCAGGTGTGAGATATCTCAATCCCCTTGTTTAGAAATCTGAGGAATGTTGCCAAACATATCTTTGTTGAATGGATGTGTTCTATGCAAGTTGTCCCGTAAAAGGCAATGACAGTAATAATGATTGTAAGAAAGCATTCCCGGAAAACGTTATCTATCACCATTGCATTCGCTTAGTCCCTTAAGTACATCAACAGTCCTTGATTCAATGCAGCTTAATCATTAAATCAGATCATAATGCTGCCAACATTTTATTTTCCCTCATCAATTTATTAATTTATTTTTATTAACTATTTAATTTAGATGGCTTAAGGAACTGACATTGCAGTTGCATTAACAGATGGGAAACTGCAATGGGAAATTCTCTAGGATGCGATGGTTTAATGTCACATTAGATTTAGAACAACGGTGAGCATTCTTGCAACTTTTCCATGCATTGTGATGACCGGCTGACTAAAGGGAATATCTAGAAGAAAAAGTAAAAAGAACATACTGGTTCTCATTTTATTCTTTGCCCCCATCCTTAGCTATGGACTGGGGCAGGGGTTGGGCATGCTAGTCACCAACAGTACATGCTGTTGAACTGCCATCCTATCAGACATAACAAGGTGTAGAGCTGGATGAACACAGCAGGCCAAGCAGCATCAGAGGAGCGGGAAAGCTGACGTTTCGGGTCTGGACCCTTCTTCAGAAATGGGGGAGGGGAAGGGGGTTCTGAAATAAAGAGAGAGAGAGGGGGAGGCGGGTGGAAGATGGATAAAGGAGCAGATAGGTGGAGAGAAGACAGGTCAAAGAGGCGGGGGTGGAGCCAGTAAAGGTGAGTGTAGGTGGGGAGTTAGGGTGGGAATAGGTTAGTCCAGGGAGGATGGACAGGTGAAGGAGGCGGGATGAGGCTGGTAGGTAGGAGGTGGAGGTTGGGCTTGAGGTGGGAGGAGTGGATAGGTGGGAGGAAGGACGGACAGGTTAGGGAGGCGGGGACGAGCTGAGCTGGTTTTGGGATATGGTCAGGGGAGGGGAGATTTTGAAGCTTGTGAAGGCCATATTGATACCATTGGGCTGCAGGGTTCCCAAGCAAAATATGAGGCGCCTTTTCTGAAGAAGGGTCTAGGCCCGAAATGTCAGCCTTCCTGCTCGGCCTGCTGTGTTCATCCAGGTCTACACCTTGTTATCTCGAAATATGAGGTGCTGTTGCTGCACCACTCGGGTGGCATCATTGTGGCACTGGAGGCGGCCCAGGATAGACATGTCATCCAAGGAGTGGGAGGGGGAGTTGAAGTGGTTCGCGACTGGGAGGTGCAGTCGTTTGTCGTGAACCGAGCGTAGGTGTTCCACAAAGCGGTCTCCAAGCCTCCGCTTGGTTTCCCCGATGTAGATGATGCCACATCGGGAACAGCAGATACAGTATACCACATTAGCAGATGTGCAGGTGAACATCTACCAGACAGCCTTAACTGTGAAGTACCGGTAGATTATTCGGCTTTGAGGTATGACAGCATAGCTCAATTTTGTCCTCACTCAGTATGAAAACACTTTTGAGCAGAGGGCATAAAGTCACGTGAAGTCATTATGACAGACAAAGGTAGCAACTCAGAAGTTGCTGAGGGCAGACGACAAATAACCTTCCTGACTCATTAATGTAATGACAAATATTCAGATTCGTACTTCTTCATGATCTGCTTCGATTGCATCTAACTTCACTACATCTTTCAGCTTCAGCGTGCAATAATTTTCAACACAAGTCAAAGCAATGACAAAATTTAATTGCAACTCAAAGAGAGGAGGGGTTTGAGTTTGCAGACAATTTAATTGCAGTGGTCCATCAAGTCAGTAATAAAAAAAGAATAGATTACTGAAGCAGACACCAGGACACGAGATGGAGCACGAAGATCATGTTGGGGAACATGCAGTGATTGCACATTTTATGAAAAGATGTATCTCTCATACCTCACTGAATTGAAAGAAGATTTGCCTGATTTTTGTTACCAATTTAGA